TGAGTTCCTCAGAGTTTGAGGAACTCACAAAACTGAGAAACTATATTTTAATATTCTTGATCAAAACAAAAATTATCAGCAAACTCAATCAGAATCACCATAGGACTAAAAATAATACAATGAGATATAATGATGATTTTTTCATTTACTAAAATAATTAAATGCATTTATATAGAGAGATAAAAAGAATTTTGGAATTCTGATTACAGTAATATGAGCATTATGGAATACTAAAAAAGTTTTTTATTTTTTTTTAAATATAAAATTTAATAAATTTATATCACCAAAAAAGAAACAAGATAAAGTTTTCCTATATCTAGCATAACAATCTGATATTTTGAACCATTTTGAGAGGTCTAATAATAGCAATAGCAATTATATACTGCTTCACCGTGCTTTACTGCCCTCACTAAGCAGTTTGCAGAGTCAGCATATTTCCCCCAACAATCTGGGTCCTCATTTTACTGACCTCAGAAGGATGGAAGGCTGAGTCAACCTTGAGCCTCATGAGATTCGAACTGCCAAATTGCAGGCAAGCAGCAGGCAGCAGGCAGCAGAGGTAACCTGCAGTACTGCATTCTAACCACTGTGCCACCACAGATCTAATTTCATGCTCTAATAAGCATGAAATACCATTTTCTTATGAATCTCAATTATACATCATAAGTATATATCACATTTTTAAGTCCACTGAGTCTCCCTAATAGATTATTCTATTTTTTCATTCCATAGTTCAAGTACACAACAAATTCTTTCATTTCACTTGTTAGTACCTTGCAAAACAGAATTGTTGCTTTCTGTTCAGGCACTGCATCTCTTAAATTGCAGATTTGACTATTAGAATATCCGGCCATACTATTACTTAGTGCATGTTTCAGTTTATATATTGCTAAGCAAATATTGTAGGCAATTTAAACTCAAGATGTAATCTCTCAGAATCTTTAAGAGGAGAATACATTTCTGCCTGAAATTCTGGCAAGCTTTTGCCAATTAATGTTAATAGTATTAAGTTAGATGAATCAAAGGCCTGACTGAAAAAGCAGGCTTTCCTGTGATTATATGTTCAGAATTTCTCTAGAGCAGGGATGTCAAACTCACATTATCATGGCAGCATCACGTGACATATCAGGACTTTTTCCCCACTTTGCTAAACCGGGTGTGGGTGTGACACATCTAGCCCATGTGCCATGCACATCTACAACCCTGCTGTAGAGACTAATAGTTTGAATTCTTCTTTGCAAACTCTTTTTTAAGTGTTACTCAGTGTCTGATTTGAGTCCTGATTGTATTGGGATGACTTGAGGTAATTGGAATATCTCCTGAAAGAAAACATTCTTCAGTTACTGAAATATGCTATGATCCTGATATTCCCAAATCAACAGGATAGTGAATTCAATGCACTTGACCCTTACGCAAGTGTCAATGTAGCTTAAATTGTTGTTCTCTGTAACATATGCAAATGTTTAATGTGCTTGTGCTAGATATAATGATTTCACAATAAAATGAAGTGATCATGGCATGCAATGTCAGACACTGTACCAAACTTTATCTTAATACTGTTCTCCTCTTTTGCAGGTCAGCTGCCAAAAGCTATGTAAAAGCCCCTTCTTTGGCAAACTTAGACAAGGTGAACTCTAACAGTCTAGATCTCCCTTCCTCTAATGATCTCCATCAGATACATAGTGGTAAACTGCAAGAGTCACACCCAGCGACTGTAAATGTGGGCACCCATCTCACGTCATGCTTCACCCCAAGCCCTGCTCCAGTTCTTAACATTAACTCTGCTAGCTTCTCCCAGGGCCTGGAGCTCATGGGGGGCTACAGCATCCCCAAGGAAACTCGCATGTACTCCAAGCTTTCAGGATTGCACAGGAGCATGGAATCCTTACAGATGCCTATGAACCTGCACAATGCCTTCTCTGTAGGCAGCACTGCTGCACCTACCACTGCCTCTACGCCTCCTGTTGCTGCTGAGGAAGAATCCAGTGAGATGGCCTGGACTGGCAGCCCAAGAATTACACATCTGGAAAGGTAAAGGGAGAGAAATGGGTTACCTTTGCTATGGGGAGAATATTTTTCATGATAGTGTTCCATAAGAACTTTTAGAAAGAGTCTTTTCACCTTAGACATGAAAGTCAGCTGGGTGACTTTTGGCCAGTCACTCTCAGCCAACTCACTTGATGTGAGTAAATTGGACATGGAAGGTGTGTTGGATGTGTTCACTACCTTGAAGTTATTTATAAAAATAATAAAGGCTGGATACAAATAAAAATATATAAGTTCATAAGTAGGTGGCACCACTTACCCAATCTTAGTTAATCTGGTAAAAGTGAAGCAAGATCAGGCCTGGATNGGAATGTGTGTCTTATAGTCCGAAAAATACAATACGTAATATGTAATAATAAGATTTTTAATAAAATAGAAATAACTTCTTTTTATTATCTAAAGATCTGTGTAAAGGCAGAGCTTTTTCGGTATCTCTATTCCAAATGTTGTTTCCTGATCAGTCCTTCCATCTCTCAGGTAAGCCTGAAGTAAAAGCAACAGACAAAAACAAACTCTTTGTGAAAAATGCTGGCCTGCAGCGCTCATCTTCTGATGCTGGCCGAGATCGGCTTTCAGATGCCAAGAAGCCTCCCTCTGGGCTTACACGAACCACCACGGCTGGCTCCTTTGGTTACAACAAGAAACCCCCTCCTGCGACGGGTACTGCTACAGTGATGCAAGCTGGTGGCTCAGCTACACTTGGCAAGATCCAGAAGAACTCCAGCATCCCTGTGAAACCCGTCAATGGCAGGAAAACCAGTTTAGATGTCTCCAACGCAGGGGAGCCTGGGTTTATGGCACCAGGAGCCCGTACCAACATCCAGTACCGGAGCCTGCCACGCCCTGCCAAATCTAGCTCCATGAGTGTCACTGGTGGACGAAGTGGCCCACGTCCTGTCAGCAGCAACATTGACCCCAGCCTCCTCAGTGCCAAGGGGGGTATTTCTGTTTCACGCCTCAAGGAACCTTCTAAAATAGGGGCAAGTCGGAGCTCCACAGGGCCAGTGAATCAGACTGACAGAGAGAAGGAGAAGGCCAAAGCCAAAGCAGTGGCACTAGACTCTGACTCTGTCTCACTCAAGAGCATGGGCTCCCCTGAAAGCACCCCAAAAGCTCCAAGTGGCCACCAGATCCCTGGAAAAGACGCTGAGCTGCCGCCAACACCCCTCAGGTAGGAACAGCGGTTTTGAAAAAAATAAGATGCTTCAGTTCACAATTATTTATGTAAGGGCAATTACATAATTGCAATTAATTATAGCTGTGCAAGCATAATTTATACTTGTAAAGGGGATTTCAAAATGAAGACAAGTGAATAATTACTTCCGTTCTTGGATAGAACTCTGTAGTTCTGCCAGTNCTTTCTTTCTTTCTTTCTTTCTTTCTTTCTTTCTTTCTTTCTTTCTTTCTTTCTTTCTTTCTTTCTTTCTTCTTCACCAACAGTCTGCCTCACAAGAGGGGCTTTTGAAACTACTTTTGAAAAGCAACATTGTGTTGTTCCAAGTGTTCCAAAATATCCAATGTATTTCTAATAATTATCCCCTAGCTGTCTTTTAGGTAAAAACCAATATTCTCGTGAATAAAGTCCTATAAAACCATTTTCATTCTTTCAGCTAAAATCATTGTAAATAACTTAAAATCATCATTCAATTATGATATCAGGTAATAATTTTTGACGAAGTCAAATCTTGAGCTTCTTTAAGTATTAATGCTGAATTGGCCTACATCCAACTATGTGGTATGTTTCCAGTTTGCAAAATATAATTCATTGTATTTTGCAATAATTGTAATGATTCATATTCAAAATGTTATAATAAGAAGCTGGTAAACTGCCTGGTCTTTCCCAATTGTGCCCTTTTAATAGCTTCACAAAATTCCTTATTATAATAGGTCAATTATTAATTGTTTCTGTTTTTCCAGGATCTTTGGTAAACTTTGTTTTTTCAAATGTACACCAATCTTTGCCAGCAGAATTTCTTCTCCTTTATATAATTTGAAGTAGTATTAATTAGCACTAGTGCAAGTTTTGATTATCTCTTGTTCTTACAGTATTTCCATTTCGTAACTTTATTATCATTTCTCCTTTTTTATTCTTTTCCTCAGATTTTTACATTTTCCTGGCTTATTTGCAAATTCATTTTTGTTTTACAGAATTCACTGCTCTTTAATTTCTGTTACTGTTAACGTAATGAACTGCCATTGAAAAAGTTTAATTTGTTGTGAAACAATTTTGGGGGGATTTTTTAAAATTCTTTTGTCATCTGTGCATCTTTTCTTAAAATACTTGATTGTATCTAAATCTAACTACAGTTACAGTAGTTGCATTAGAATCATTAAGATTAAGATTAACCATGCATGATGTAGGCCACACTGACCACTCTGTCTACATCCATCTAATTTGTTGTGTTGCCTATTGTGATGGATAAGAATGTAAATCTGGCAAATACTAAACGTTTGCTCTGAATTCTGTCTCTCAATGCACGAGGGGCCTATATGCCTTTCAAAACAGGACCTCTGCAGTCCTCTCTTCTTCAAATCAGTGCTTTCAAAGGCTTTAGAGGCTTTGATGGTATAAAGGCTGCAGCTGAGCAGGGAAATATGTGCTTCAAATGCAGGCAATCCCCTGGCATGCCCACTGTGAAGAGGATTATTCGGAAATATAGGAGCGAGGGCCTATGACTTGTTGCTACCAAGTCACAATATTTCCGAACCAGACAGATGAGGGTGTAATCTTGGGGAGTATCATAGAAGGAAAGACTGACATGTCAATTTGACACTGTTTTCCGTCCTTCAGCTACGCACAGATTCTGAGAAACGGTCATTGGCAGAGAGTGGGCTGAACTGGTATGGTGAACCAGAGGAGAAGACCCAGAAGAAGATGGATTATGACAGCGGGAGCCTGAAAATGGAACACAGTTCCTCCAAGTGGCGACGGGAACGTTCTGAAAGCTGTGATGAAGCTCCTGCCAAAGGTGGGGAGCTGAAGAAGCCTGTTAGTTTGGGTCCGCCGGGATCCTTGAAGAAGGGCAAGACCCCACCTGTGGCAGTGACCTCCCCCATTACTCACACAGCCCAGACTCTTAAAGTGGCAGGTGAGATTGTCATTGAAATTATATTGTTAACACTTTTTATTTGCTTCCCATTTGTCTGCAGAGTCCAAGCAGGAGTGCATGACTATTTCTAGGGCGTTAATAAGGCCAGAAATATTTTATTGAATCTACTATTGTTCCTCAGTAACTATCCAGTTATGTCATTTTATTATTATGAGGAACTTTTAAACCAGCTACTTCCAATTTGGTGCTCTTCAGATGTTTCAGACTGAGTCAAGCCTCAAATCATCCTCTTTCTCACACACTCCTTTTCCGGGGAATCCACCTTCTTACTACATTCTGTAACCCTCTATCCCTTATTATCTTTTAGGCAGCATGACAACTGAGCATTATGGTCAAAGGATTAGAGCAGTGGAAATCCAAGGGCACCAGAATGAAAAAAGCTATTCTGAACAAAAACGTTACAAATGCAACAATTACTACATCTTAGTATTTTTTTTTCTCATTCAAATGTGTCCAGTTCTCGGAGACTGCCAGTACAATCCTTGCAGTTTTTCATAAGTGATTTGCACTGTGTTCTTCCTAAGAAAAGAAGATGGTGACTAGCTGCAGGCCACCCGGCTGGCTTTCTGCCTATGGCAGGACTAAAACTCACAATTTCTCAGTTTCTAGCCTGATGTTTTAACCACTTCACCAAACTAAATCACGTTAATCAAACAAGTAATTGATACTTGTAGACAAACATGGCAACACCTTTCCTTTCTATTACATATGCTCATATCTGAATACACTATATGTTTATAGTATAGACCATGTATGGTTTTTGTAGGAGATAAAAGAGGTAAATTATCAACAAGACATGGTTCATTGGAAAAATCTTACACTCTACCTTTTCTATCTGAGTGCTTTCAAGCTCATATATGATACCCAGAACTCCAAAATGTCAGATTTCAGTACATTATTTATCTTCCATCCAAAGGAAAGGAGCTTAGCAATTAGACTGGACTAGTGTGGCAAACATCTCTATTTTTCTTTCTTTTTGAGGTAAAAAAAATTACAAATTAATCTAGTCTTTGTTTTCTGGTTGAATATTAAGGCTATTATAACCTCATCTCTTCTTTTGTGCCTTGTAGTTAGTAGACACACACACACAAATAAGAACACACCCAGCATTTCAAGGTAACAAGTTTCCAATGAGGCAACTAGAGTATATCAGGTTTTTTGATAACCTGCTATGATTATGGGAATGGATTAGGTTCCTATTGTGGAATGTGGCTTGGGGAGTGTAAAGGGACAGAAACAGGTTTTGGCTATCTGGAGGAAGGGCCAATGGGCAAAATTTGACTCAAGCTAAAGGTAAGTTTGGTCTAGTAATTAAGGCACCTGGTTAGAAAGCAAAAGGCCTAACCTTGACCATGACATGAAAGCCAGCTGGGTGATCTTGGGCCAGTCACTCTCTCCCAGCCCAACCCATCTTACAGAGTTGTTGTGGGAAAAATAGGAGGAGAAAGGTGTATTGGATATATTTGTCATTTGAGTTATTTGTAAAAATAATAAAAACAGCATAGATAGATAGATACAGTGGGGCAAAAAAGTATTTAGTCAGCCACCAATTGTGGAAGTTCTCCTGCTTAAAAAGATGAGAGAGGCCTGTAATTGAC